GGGTATGAATACTTTTGCAAACCACTGTATATATTTATTTTTTTATTTATTTTGGAAGATGGTGTTTCAGCAAGTCTCTGCTATTCTGCTATGGCTAACCGTTTTGTTCCCGTCTGTGTGGAGAAGAGAGCCCAGCCCATGTGCATAACCAGGTAACGGCAGGTACAGGGATCAGCAGCGGCCAAAATACCTCAGAAACTTTATGTACGAATTACGTGCGAGTCAGCAGGATTCCATTTTGTTTGTTAAATTCCGCGATTCCATCAGCATTGTGGAACTCRTAGAGCCCATGTCCACTGTATTTGATCCTCACCAAGCTATGACACTCAAAAACCAMGTCCAGTTTTAGAACTCCAGAAACATTTAAAATGCAAATACACTTTTCATTTGTCAACATTTATCAGATATGTGTTTGTACTCAAATAATAATTCCACATTTAAACAAGACAAATCAAGATACGACTAAAACAACAGAGGCACAAAATTGTTTATTGAATGGAAATTAGGGGTGCACCAATAAATCCAATTTTCTTAATTTTAGGAGATGTGAGATTGGCCGATACTTAGATAAGATCAATGGAGAAGATTGGCTTCTTGTCTACCTCCACAAAGGTCTGAAAATCAACTACTGTCCCCTCTTCTCTCTGCTGTGAGCACTACCTAATGTCCAGTTAAAACAAGTTTGTATTGTTTCAAGGGTATTCTGACCTTATAACACCTGATAGTGTCGGCTATTTAAAAAAATCGCTATCGGCCAAATCAGAATCAGCAGATCAGGCTTTTTAAAGATCGGTGATTGGCCAGAAAACTGCAATCAAAAACTGCATTGAGTTTAGGGTTGTTAGACTAAACACAAAAGATTTACGATACCTAAACTGAACGCTTTTATGTTGATCAAACATAACCTGGTTCAGCTCATCTGACTGAGGTATATTTTGGTTGTATGTTTGTGTACATGTGCCAGTAAGAGGCTAATATGAAGCGATCAATATTTGAGTCCAGAGGCCAATAAGCAGTTACCAGAAGCCCAATAGGAAAGCAAATTGTTACTGAGTGATCCCATTCTCTTTCAGAGATTCGAAGACAACTCATTACAGTGATGGTAAGAGGGAGGAATAATGCAACACGGAAGCAGCTTTGGTGTCAGTTGTGCCCAGCAGAGAAAGTTTTAGATGATATCAGAACCCTAAAATGAATGTCAACAACACATCTTTTAGTGACATGTTTCTATTCTGTTTGGGATGTTAAATAACAAAAAAAAAAAAAAAAAAACATTGCTGGTTCACTTAAAAATTGTATTTGACTTGGAGCACTTTCTGAATCTGAAACATTTAAAGCACCAGTTTCATAATACTCATCTTAACTTGGATGATTAGTTTTTTCTATTAATACTCCAATTTCATGACCATTCTTATCATAAATCCTGTTCAAAATTTAAAACCTTACAAAGACACACGTTCGCTCCAGGTTTTCCTACCTTGGCTCTCATCTGACCCGAGGTTGACACTTTGCGAATCAACTTGTGTGACGTCTCCTCTTGTTCTCCATCACTGTCTGATGACTCTTCAGCTGTTTCTCCAGCCTGGGACAGGAAAGAAAAACAGTTACAAAAGAAAATCATGCAGGGAGGAACTCAAAAACCAAAGAAATTAACTTCCTGAACAGTTGTGAAAGTATTTTTTTAGATCACGTTGGCAACTGCAGAAGGAAGATGCATCTCCTCCAATAGCTTGKTTATCAGGGTGATAAGTTCACTTCATGATGTTATATGAAATACAAACCCTTGAATTACTATTTGTTTTTGGTTATGAGAATATATATATTAGGGTGGTCCTCTATGGTATGCTGAAAATAAAAATGTGACTTTTTTAAGTTGCTTTCTGATAAAATTGTTCATTTTGCAAGGAAAATCTTTTGTACCAAATTTTATGTCAAAACAACTTTTCTAACCACTGCTGCATGTGGGGTGAAAATTAGAATGGTTGAGCTAATTTGTGCATATCAACAGTTTTGTTTAGATATGAAATACAAAGTGAAACAACAGTTGGTAGTGCAGATGCCTCTCAGCAAGAATCGAATCCCGACCCTTCTGGGTCCTCTAGGTTTGAATGCTCTCCCCTTGCGTGTGCGAATTTTCTCCAGGTACTTTGGCTTCCCCCCACAAACCAAAAACAACATTGGTAACTCTAAATTGTCCCTAGGTGTGAGTATGGTTGTTTGTTTCTATGTGGCCCTATGATGGACTTGTGACCTATCCAGGATGTACCCTGCCCCTTGCACAGTGATTGCTGTGGGCACCAGAAACCAACCTGAAAGAAAGAAGATAATGGATGGATGGACAACAGTCATCCCTCATTTAAATGGACTTACAAGGCAAATATAAAATAAAATCAATAAAACAAAAATGAATAAATAAGTGTCATTGTTCACATATTTGGTGAGAACAGTCATGAAGAGTGGCATTTGGTCATGACTTTCTTCACTTCCGGGAACTGACATCGATGCCACCCAACAACTAGCAGCATGTATTGCCACTGCTGGTCATTTGATTGTAATCCTGGATGAGTTCCCTGTTTAGTAAAGTCATTGACATCTTAATCATTGGTCATTAGCATCCTAATGCTACACAGAACCTGCCATGATGATCCTTCCATTCTGATTGGTCCTTGACAAGGTAGTTCATGTTGATGCTGAATGCCTCAAAATGGGACTTGAGGCAGATGTAACACAATCTGCCACAGTTTTGGTAACAATAGCTTCATTTGCTTCTAGGTCCACTGTTGCAGATGACTGAGGATCATTGTGACCTTCCTCCTTGAGAACAGCTACGATCATCGTGTGCAATGCTGCTGTCAAATATGACAAGTCTGGCCAGTTCTTTACTCAGATACCACAGATCTCTGGCTAACGTCTCGCTGGTGGCCTTGGTAATGACAGAATCAATTAAAAATTTCGCTCGCATGGCACAAAAACAGGGGTTGAGTGGCAGTGGTTAATATTTTTCAAATCTTATGATATTTCACCCCATTTATTTTTTCCCCAAATGGAAAAAAATAAATAAAGAAGCACCTTGAAAAAGTAGAAGTTTGTATTTTGGGACCACCCTAATATATATACTGTATGTTTTTTTTTTACAAACTTTAATCAGATAGTTAAGTCAACACCTTCATAAAATAACTGTGGTCACCTTAATGCGGATTATGAAATTTACAGAAGTTTACGAAATTTGTATAAAGTTACAAACAGACCAGAAGTGGAGTTTGTGAAAACAAACAATAATGGCTACTGAAACTGTAACATTGCTACCCTCCTCTATCCAAGCCGGTACAATTTATTCTTTACATGTCTTTCTATTGAATTCATAAAATGATTGCGGTCACCCACACACTGCTTACAACTTTACGAAATTTACTTAGTGTAAAAAAAACTCTCTGCAAACCCAAGGTTTGGCACTGTGCCCTGAAGGTGTCCTGAGGTGTTGCCAGCTGAAAGAAGGCTTCAGAAAACCAAAGACCCTCCTCTAGCTAAATGCCTGTTCACAGGGATCTCATGCAACAGGGGTTAGAGACCATGAGCCTGGCAATTACCTGACAAGAGTTCACTCTCTATGCTAAGGAGTGGAACAAACGGAGACAGGAAGAAAAAAAAGCGTAGACAAATGAAATTATCAACCTCGTTTTTACTTATCAACCTTATTTTAAATTATGGTGCAACTAATTGATTAATTGCTTATCGTGACAGGCCATAACGTGACATTCACAAATGGTCTGAACACGTTGAACAGCTCTTTAAAATGAACAAGGGGAACCGAGTCACAGACAATTGGGAGCTACTTGTTTCCCTGTTTTTTTCCCTCCTCAGATGCTGACATTCCTGCTTCTTCTTCCCTTTTCCACTGAGACAAAAAAGAAGAACAAGAAGAAGAGCAAAAAAGGGAACATGCTCATGAGGAAAGTGAGGGTTGAGGTCATGGGGTAAGGCTCTTACGTCTTACATCTACATACGGCCTACGTCACATAACGTCACTAACATTCAAAACTGAACAGCTCTTTAAAACAAAAGGAACCTCGAGAATTGTATCCCTTCAAAGAGCCATATATACCATCTCTAAAGCAGACTAACATTAAAGGCTCCACTATGCTTCTATAAGATGTGAGACATTGGATGTCACCATCATAATTTGGGATGGTCTTTTTCTCACAGACTACTCATCTTCAAAGAAGAAACTGGGGGGAAATAAATCCTGATAAGTCTTCCCACTGCAGCACACGTCATGTGCTAACAGAATCACTACAGACAGCATGGGTGCAAGAGTGGGTTTTTATTTTCAGTTAAAGATGAAGAACAAAGATCAGGTATTTCTGTTAACTGAGGRTTATTTTAAAATTTGTCAGAAAGAGACCACCACGTTCACAACAGGCGGTGCAGACTGTCTCCTGTGGGCACCAAATTGTCCAATCTCCTTCCACAAGTTCTTGTACTATCTGTATGAGTTTTATCTAACTTTCTCTATCGTTTTTCCTGGAACAGTTGCAATGTCGGGCTCTATTTTCTTACAGCCTCGTTCATCAGCTCAGAGATCAGCTCACAGCAATTAAGGGTCTCTGCAGACGAGTGGGCGTGTCACAACGAAAGGCGATTCTAAAGCACACACCTGATTTGACGGACTTTTTAAAGGGACACACCTAACTGGACAAGCAAAAAAGGGGCGTCACCGTACGGCACCACCTGACTGGACAAGAACAAAAGGGGCGTTAGTGTACAGCACCACTTTTTCTGGAGACCCCTACTTGGGGAGAAGGGGTTATCTGCGGAATCAAAGTGGGCTTGTCACAAGAGTGGGCGTGTCAAAAGCCTAAACACTGTGGACTACGAAGCCTACATGATGGTATCCTTTGATCCTGCTTGATGTGTTTACAGCCTGACCCTGACCCCAACACTAAGGTTAACCAGGAGAAATGTGACCCAAGTAGGGTTCTCCAGAAAAAGCGGTGCCGTACAGTAACGCCCCTTTTGTTCTTGTCCAATCAGGTGGTGGCGTACGATATCGCCCCTTTTTTGTTTGTCCAGTCAGGTGTGACCCTTTAACAAAGTCCGTCAAATCAGGTGTGTCACTTTAGAATCGCCTTTCCTTGTGACACGGGTCACATTTCTTCTGGTTAACCTTAGTGTTGGGGTCAGGGTCAGGCTGTATAGAGGTCAAGCAGGGTCTAAGGATACCGTCATGTAGGCCTCGTAGCCCACAGTTCTTAGGCTTTAGACACGCCCACTCTTGTGACACGCCCACTTTGATTCTGTAGATAACCCCTTCTCGCTCACAGGAGCCACTTCACAGAAACAAACACGCCCCCAAAGTTCTGACCAATCATATAATCCTCAACGCATAGTGCTGTGAGAACGTAATGTTATGCATATAACTACTGTTCCCTGAAGGAAAGGAACGAGGTACAACATCATGTATGGGAACCACGCCCCTGCGTGTCCTGGCTGAAGCCACCTCTAATCACGCCTTTAGGCAGGTGACGTGATGACGGAAGTCAGGCTCCGCCTGCACATATAAATGCTGTCGCATCACAGTCACTCCTT